TAAGTTAAGCAATTTGTCAAACAAAGAAGATGCTTAGTCATCTTAACATATACAAGAATCTAACATTTGTCCAAACCATGGGAGATCTCATTATAGCCTCCTTATCCCCATTTCTGCTCGTGCGAAAATAAATTTGGGAGAGATTGACAAATTTCCTCCATTTTTTTCCTTAAGAAGCTCGAACAGCATATCCTCCATATATATATATATATATATATCCTTCAACAGCAAGTTTTAATCAAGCAAATATTCTCCCAAAATTCCATCGCTATCGCACGGTAAAGCAAGGGTTAGTGTTCGGCAAAGACACACACCACATCGGTCATATTCAAGCAAGAACAGAAAGGGAAATTCCGAGCATACCTTGTGAATTTGGTCGAGATTGGCGAAGGTAATTCAGAGTTACCTCTGAATTGGTCATGTAAAAGTGAATTAGTTCGGATTTTATCGTAGTTAGGAGCAATTCGCCGTGTATATTAGAGTAGATCCGTGTGTGTGTGTTCATGTGTAGAATTAAGTTCAGATACCATGTTTATTTCAGAAATTTTGGCAGTAATCAGACCTTATTTACTGAGATATGTAATTGAGTGTTCAGTTTTGAAGTATTGTTGTTGTTGTGTGGTCGGTTATCGACCGAAGGGGGTGGCAGCGCATATCGCACAAGCCACGGGCCGTCGTGTTTGGTTCAATTATAGTCTCGGTTGTTTATTCAGATCATGTTTTCATAGATTGAAATGTTGTTCATGTTAGATTGATATGTTGTTGCCGAGGAAAAAGATTAAGTTGGCCGAGTGTCGGCCATTGCCGTTAGCGGCGCATGGCGTGCCGCCGCGGCCCTTATTCAGTCATTAATGCATAGTTTTATTAATTCCAGTAAATTTCAGAATGATGTTAAGTTAAGTCAAAAGATGTTAATTAGAGTCAGTTCGGTCGGAGGTTAATGCCGGAAAGCCGGTGAGTGTCGGCCGAGGTCGCGCTGCCGCACACAGCGGCAGCAGCGCATCGGCCAGCAGCCCTTGTGCCAGGCAGCGTGCGCAAGCGAGGTTATGTGCGCGTTGCCTGTGCGCGGTAGCATTGCGGGCATTGTCCAGTGTGCGTCCGCAGTCCAGTCATGCCCAGCGGACACACCCAATGCCGCTGGCAGTCAGCCGTCAATCCCAGCGCCCGCGGTCAGTCCGGACAGCGCCCGTGTGCGCAGCTTCGGCAGGCCGCTGGCCAAGCCAACAACCGTTAGTCCGGTTCGGTCGGACCGCAGCCGGTCTAAACCGGTCCAGGCCGGCTGACCGGTTCAGCAGCATTTTTAGCCGGTTTAGCCATTTTAAGCCCGGTTTAGTATTTTGAGTCATTTTCAGTAAATTTTCCGGGATTATTTCAGTTCAGAAAAATCATGTCCAAATCAGTTCATCTTAATTCAGTTCCGGTTTATCCGGATAAGTCTAAAAATCAGATTAAGTTTAATAGAGCATCTTAACGAGATTAATCAGTTAAATTAAGCAGTCTGAGCATAGTCAATAGTAATTGTTTATATTATTTTTTTTCAGTTTAGCAGGCATCAGCACTACCTATCAGTCAGACAGTTCAGGTGGGGACTCAGACTAAGTACTACATTGTTTATAATTGCTCTACCATGTACGAGGTATGTATTTTCAGTATCCGCTCGGAATGGCCGCCGGTCCGTTCTGGGTTCTAGTGGCCCTAGTCTGCCCACTAGAGTGTGCACATGGTGTCCGGTTCGCCGGCAGATGTTCAGTTCAGATGTGACTTCGGTCACTACGTGGCTTCGGTCACGAGTTCAGTTATCAGTTACGTGACTTCGGTCGCGAGTACGTGACTTCGGTCGCGAGTACGTGACTGCGGTCGCGAGTTCAGACCGGTATCAGTTCAGTTCAGATATATATGCTTAGTTCATGATATTGTTATTATTTACGATGTTTTACATTAGTATGAGTTTCCACGGAGCACAGTGCCTAGTGCTCACACCCCAGTTATATCTTATTTTTCAGGTCAGCAGGTCGGGCCGGCGGTGTGACATGACGGAGCAGCTCGGGACATTCAGGACATTTATATTTATGTGTTTTGGACTGTATAACTAATATTTACGCTTCCGCTTACGTTTTGACTATCTTTTGACGATGGTTGATGATTTTGACGTTTTATCATATTTTGATAAACTTTTCAGATAAACACTTTTTAAATAACCGGACGTTTTTAATAAGTTAAAACAACGGTTTTTCTAAAGTTAAGTAAAGATTTTTCACGGTAGCACCCCAAATCAGTTTCGCAAAGTAAAAATGTTTAGTTTTCAAAGACTTTGCGAATAAACGCGCTACTCTGATTTATCTAGTAAGGTGGGGTGTTACACATCTAAGTCATAACTGACATCTGGCATTTTGACCGAGACGGGAATACTCATCCGTATCGATCCTTTAAACTATTTACACAAATACCTCAAACAGTAAAAACATTTAAAAGTGATGAGATACACAATAACTAACTATGCTGAAATTCTGACTTTAACAGTATAGCCGATTAATAAATAGCCACACTATACTTTAATAATTTATCATTGAATTCCAAAAACACCTAGCTTGGCTAGAGTTCTGGTTACACTAAAATCTTCTAAGTTCTGGCTAGAGTTCTGACTAGAATTCTCAAATCTTAAATCGAAAGATAGATCGTACGCCATTGAAACATTCTGACTATAATTAGATATGCACTCACAAATAATAAAGACTGCAAGTGACGTACCTTGGAGTCGACGTGGCGTGAGCGTGGTGTGGTCATATCTCGCTAAAATTTTAGTATACAGAACCACTAAGTGGCTCTGATACAAATTGTAACACCCCGCCTAAACTTACTAAAATAAGAGTAAATTGTTCGCACTATAAAAGAAAAACTCTGTTTTAATTTTCGAAACTCATATTAATCTTTCGAAAATACTTTAACTTTAATATGCGGGATGCTACTCAACTTTAATCTTAAATCATTAATCTTTAATATCGTTAAACTTCTAGGCATGCAACCAAGTACAATTCATTACTCTGAACATATCAGGATTTAATCATGCATAGACTGAAATTCTAGATACTGAAATATTGAGTGCAGAAGCACATGTAGCATGCATCAACAAAGCATAATAGCTCAAACATGTTAAAATATACATGACAGGTTTACTAAAATTATCTTTGCTATGACACGTGCTCCGCCAGAACCGGCACTGAAATATACAGCTAATATAATAACATATCATGACATCGGCATATATGCAAGTACTTACTGGGGTCGACAGAAAACGATATGAAGATGAACATTTTACTAACATATTAGGCATTCATCCAATAAACACTTAAATCAGCAAACTATCTGAAGCTGCTACTTAGCTGACTGCCTATAACCGATGTTCCGCTGACTGTCTATAATTTCTGCTCGACTGGATAACTATAGCTGCTGCTCAACTGACTAACTATAATTGCTGCTCAACTGACTAACTATAATTGTTGCTCAACTGACTAACTATAAATGTTGCTCGGCTGACTGACTATATCTGCAACATCGCGAACTAAATGAACCTCTGGTATGGTAAACACATCGCGAACCTAAGCATACATCTAATATGATAAAATCACATCACAACCTAAGTATACATAAAAACACATCACAACTTGATCATACATCTAATGTGATGGACACATCACAAAAGCGTATAAATAATTGTATGGTATGATATAACACATCACAAAAGCGTATAAATAATTGTACTGTCTATAACGGCTGCTCAACTGACTGGTTAACTGGCAAGAGGGACACTTGGTCTTCACGCTCGCAATAAGAAACTGTAGGACCTTATCTGTAGGTCGTTGCCACTTACTAGGGCAAAACTAACTCTTATGCACTGATAAGGTTGGAGGTTAACTCCCAACTGCACTAGAGTCCTTGATACTAACTGGAGATCCGAAACACTTGGTTATGACGAAACCTATCTCTAGATCAATAATCCTTAGGGAAGAATTATTCATCTGAAATTAAACTTAACTTAAGGCTACTCTAGGGTTCTGAATTCACTTAACTCAAAGTTGCACTAGAATTCTTATCTCATCTAGCATTCGATTCACCTAGCTAGAAAGGATCTACTCGCTAGGTAAATTGCCCCTATTCGGTCAGAATCTTACACACATACTTCAACCATCGTATTGCGATTATAGAAGATGTAATACCCAGTACAGGGTCCCCACCTGATATGCTGAAATGTAAGATCTGAATGGTTTGCAGCTGTCAGAGGCTCGACTCTCCACAAGCTACAAAATATATAAGCACAAAATATATATTAAGTACTTATGTTAACTGAAAACTCAAATAATATTATCTGAGCTGACTAAGTTCGCTCACTCTGCTTTAAAAATCATTTTAGGAATTTACGAGCTGAGTATTTTTTTTTTGAAAGTGTATTGTCTTTGAGGCATTCTAGAATTCTCTGAAATATTTTTAAGTCTGGAACTAAAATCTGACTTAATCTAATCTGACTAAAATCTAAAATATATCTGGATCTTAAATCTATATGGATTCTTAACTTTATCTCTAAAATCTTAACTTTATCTGAAATATCACAATATATCTGAAATATATATCTAAAATTTCTCGAACCGTCCGGCTACCCGGACTGATCCGACTGTACTGAAATTCTCTCCAGACTGGTTTGACTGAACTGGACCGATGACTCACTCGGAGTCGGTCGATCATTGGCTTGACTATGTGAAGCTCGGTTTGACCCTGGTCTGGATTCGGTATGGCAACTCAGGATTGGCACGAGCTCGACTGACACGGCTTAACCGATGCACGGTTTGGAACAGTGCCACGAACACTGACGCAGGGGCATGCTTGGACCACGACTAACGGAAATGGCGCGTAACTAGTAGGTCGGATGGACTCAGTGCACGGGCACGCACTCGGTGGTTTGAATCGAACTCGGTGCATGGGCACGCACTCGATGGTTTGACTCGGACTCAGTGCACGGGCACGCACTAGTCTGTTCAGCTCCAACGGTCGGATGAGAGTCAAGCACGTGTGTGGGACGACGATACGCGTTACGAATTAATGATATGACGTCTAAAAATTTTTTAAACGGCACTACGGTTCGGTCGGTTAAACTCGGATTCAAAATAATACCCGTGGTAACACAAAAATTCTCGACCGGCTGGAACTTGAATGATCGCCTTCCTTCTCGCCGGTTGAACTTAGTGCACCTACAAAGAACTCTCACACCAGAGGGGTTTTCCAGTGAAGAGCCTCCAAAGCCTAAGTCAGTGTTTGTTCAATCAATTCTCAAGAGTGAGTAATATAATGATCGTGTTGAAGAAGAAAGGCTCACCCCCTTTATATAGGGGCGAGATACATGTCCTAGGGCTGCCCGGATATGATGAGTTGTCTGCCCTAACTGCCCGTCCGTACACACAATACGCGTGTGTCAGAGGTAGCCGTCGCAACTATCGCCTGCACCAATATTCTTTGGACGCGTGTCCTCCTGCACATGGGGTAAGCTGTCAGAGGTGGTTACCGCTATAAACCACTGCATTCTCGACACGTGTTCCCTTGCACATGGGGTAAATATTCTCCTGAAATTTGGTTATAGGCTCTCTCACGCACCTGTGACTAGTCCGATCTATGAAGTGTTCAGTCCGCGAAGTGATCGACCAATCGAGGTCGACTACACTGCTCGACCGTTCATCTGGCTGGAATTCCTCAACTTTCCACGATATGACCTTCTCGATCGGTTAGCAGGCTGGTTTAACCTTGTGGGTATAATATACTATATCATCTAGTCACTCCCCCCCCCCCACTCTGGTCGAGTCTAGGTGACTCGATCTAAGAGTGAATTTGTGTTCCTTGCATTCCTCGATGGCATGATGTCAGATATCAACCACCTGGTGAGTTGCCCGCCCACTATTTCAAATATTTTCTCATTAATTGCCCAAAATAGAGTCACCCGCCATATGTCCTTTCTCTCTCACCTACTTTTCTGCCACGCGTCGCGTCTACCGCCCTTGTCAGGCACTTTAATGATAGCGCCTCCTCGCATAACGCGCCTGCTTTGATCAACATGCGAGTTAATGCTTACCCCCGTTAGATCTAGCTTTAATCCAACGGTCTTCATCTTTCCACCTTTTAACTTTCCCAAGTATAAGACCCATACTTAGAGTATTTTTCCATTTTTTCCACCTTTGCGAATTTTAAACTCTCCTGTGCTCAAAATCTCTTCTGCAAAAAACCCTAAATCTCTCGGCGATTCCTCCTACAGTTTTCAAGCTTTTCCAGTTCTCTCTTCTGCAATTATGAGTAAGTTGCTCCTCATCTGATTTTACGTTTCTCGTATCTGAGATTTTTGCGTTTTGAATTTTTTGAATTGGGTATCTGAGGTTTGCTGATTGAGTGCTTTGAATTTGTATGTTGAATGTTTGTGTTCGCTAATCGTTGTGAATTTTGCTTTCTTCTCCAAAAATCTCCTGAATTATTTCCCCCTTTAATATTTCGAAATCACCCTCCTCGTAGAACTCTAAGTTTTTCCTCTTTTGACTTCGATTTTGTTTTTCTTTTTTCAGATCCTGCACCTCCCTTTTCTTCTTCAACCAATCACTTTGATCCGTTCAAGTACTTCCTTCTGCGCTCAAGGCTATTCCTCTCTCGATTCTTCGCCCCGGTGATTTTGTTCCTACCCATATTTTCACAGCCCGTGTTGCTTCTTCCAAATTCGGGGATACTATGGATAACATTCCTCTCTGCCACCGTCGACCTGATCTCGGCGCGTTAGAAGAGCCAGAGGAGGACGATGTCATTTTTCCTCAACCCACTGCTCCCGCATCTTCGACCATTCCGCCTTCTTTCTCCCCACCTTGACCTTCTAACTCTCCTCATAGACAATCTTCGACCAAGAAATTTTCCAAGCGTTCATCTTCTACTTCTCTCTCCCATCCTTGGTATAAACCTGAAAAACTCGGCCGACCTATCGGTTGGGCATTCTATAGTTCTTCTTCTTCCGACAAATTCTATCATCCCCCGGGGGATTGTTATACTTTTTTCGAGATCCAGTTCAAACTTGGTCTCCGCTTCTACCTAAGTCCCGAGCTGCTTCGCATTTGCGAGTGGTTCTCGCTTCCCCTGCATAAACTTCATCCTAAAGCCATCCATTTCATGAACACCTTTATCATTCTCTGTCACATCCGCTTAGGTCGGTTCGACCTAGATTTCTTCCACTACTGCTACGCCCCTTCCAAACAAGGTTGAGGCCTCTATTTGAAAAGTCGCAACGGCGCCCACTTTATCAATGACATTCTCTCTAATTTTCCTAAGTGGAGTGATAAATTCATTTTGTTCAGCCTGATGTCCCTTTTCCTTGTCCTTCTATCCCTTGGGTCAAGGACGTTTCACAAGAGGGAGCTTCAGCCCCTCCCCCAAACCCTTTGTTCGACCAACGGGTCCACACTTGGAATTCCAAGTTCGTTGCGTCGGAAAAACTTCTTAAGGACGAAAACCTCCTTTACCATTGTGGTCTTCTCACCCACAAGACCTGTCCTCCCCCCAGTGATGAGATTCTCGATCTTATCCGGATCGAGAATGGCCCAGGTAATATTGGACGAGATTACTCGAATGTTTCAACACCCCTCTGTGTTTGTTTTAATTATCCTCTGCTAATCTTTTTGTTATTTTCTTGCAGAGTTGTCCAACTTCAACATTCCTCCGAGGAAAACTCCTCTTAAAAAGAAGACCGGGGCTACCTCTGGCTCGACCGACGGTCAAGTTGAGGGATCGACTACTTCCTCCAGATCTCGACCGGAACCGCAGCAACAATCTCCTCCACGAGAGACTCCTCTGCCTCCACCACCGCCGTCGAAGGAACAACCATGTCAGCAACAACAGCAGCAGCAGCAGCAACAGCCGCAACCGCAACATTTACAACATCAACAATAGCACCAACAATGCCAAACCCCTCCACCTCCTCCAGGTAAAACTTCCCAGCACACTTCTATTTCGGCCGCCACCAACAAGTCCTCGCCCACCTCCAAAGCTGATGATCGGTAACCGAAAATCTCTGACCACCGCCAAAAATCCGACGACCGCCATCAAAAGCATGACGACTGCCATCAAAATCACGACGACTTCCATAAAAAACCTGACAACCGCCACCAAAAAGTTGACTCTCGAGCTCCCAATCCCAAAGATGACACTTCTTCCAAAACTCTAGACAAATCTTTCGAACCCAATTCCTCATCCAAGACCAAAGGCCAAGAAAAACCTCCCCTCGACCAACAATCTTTCAAGACCCACTCTGCTAGTTCGACCAAGGCACTGGTCGAGTCCGGTGGTCAAGATGACACGGGGCGCGAGGTGGCACTGGAGAAGCACTCCCGCACCGATCAGGGTGAGATGGTTTGGAAATGGGGACGTGCCAGCCATTCTTGGCCTAATCCACTAGCCCCAAAATCTACCTCCCTGCTATTGGCCCCCGTGAACAAGGTGGCCGAGCGCCTCGAGGGAGTCCTCCTCGAGGACGACCGCAAAAAGGCTAGTGCCACTTTGCCCAAGGTGGGCGACTAGCTCGTGAAATTGCTTGTTCATGTATCACCTGTCTTTGAATTTGTATTGATTCCTTCTTGCTAGCCTTTGTCGACACGTAGCTTAAATTGTTTTACTATCTTTGTTGATAGGGCTTGGTCCAGTTTCTGCCCTTGGCCAAAGAGGCTCGAGACAGCTCCGGGAAGTCGATAAAGAGTCTCGAGGGCGCTCTTGGATTTCTGCAGAATAAGAACTCGTCTCTCCTGAAGCACAACGCCAAGCTCCGCGAGACCCAAATGGAGTAGAAGACTGAGTTTGACATCAAGATTAGGTCCTTTAATGAAGAGCTCACTAATAAGAGTAAGGCTCTCGCGGAGAGAGATGATGCTCTCGTGGAAAAGGAGGCAGCGGTAGCAGAAAAGGAAGCCGCTATAAAGGAGAAAGAGATGGTGCTCGAGCAAGAACGGGCTGCTCGAGTCGAGGTAGAAAGAGCTCGAGTTGAGTTAGAAGCGGCTCGAACACAAGCAGAGGCTACTCTGGCTAAGAAAAGGGCTGCTCGCGCCGAGGAAAAGCAACGATATGCAAACGCCACTGCTCTACGAGCCAGTCAAATGCTTTGGGCGACGACAACCGGGCAGCTCTTCCTCTGGGAACATAGTGCACAAGTGGTGGCTGACTTCATGCAGTCACCACAATTTCTGAAGGAGGTTCAAGATTTTGGGGTGGACTGCTTCCAATTCGCCCTGCAGAAGGCTGGTGAGCAAATCGCCGAGGATGACTTTGAGCAGCTCGACCCTAGGGCTATCTGGGATGCCTTACCAAAGGTTCCCTCTAGCTTACGGGGTGACCCTAATCTGCCGCTCGAGCATGAATGGTGGTCCGGAAGCTCAAAAGAACCTTGGGTCTATCGCATATCCTCAAGAAGACCTTTGCTTTGCCTGATGATGCTACTCCTCCGGCTGCCACGTTTGTCGCAATGGCTAAATCTATTCGGCGACGCCCTTTTAAAGAAGCTTGTGACTCGACCTCTGGAACCAGCCCCCAGTTTGATCCAAACGCCAACTCGAGCAACGCCGACTCGGCTGCCGCCGAGTCGACTGCCGCACCTCCTCCATAGTATAGCGTCGTATTTTCCAGTTGCCATTTATATATGAACTTCTGTAATGTGTGAACTATTTTATGAACTTTTTGCAATAGAAATGTTTTGTTTGATTTGTCTCGATCTGTGGTGATGCTTGTGATGACCTGATTTGACATACTTGTATAACTTTCCAACGGTATAATTGAAATGAACTTCCATATGGGATCAACACACTATCCACCTTTTAACACACTATGAGATTTAAACTTTGAACATATGCCCACCCTCAGGGGTGGTCGAAACATGCGACCATCCAGCCTCACGGCCTTAGTCATGATGGTCTTAATCTTGTGTATCTTTTCTACGACGTAATTGTGATGAACAACAACCTACGGTCAACATACCTTCCATATTTTAACTTTTGTGCGTCCATATACTTTTACCTAGGCTTCATTCACATCCAAACTCGAATCGTAATTTTAATAAAATTGCTGTAATTTTCACTTTAACTACCTTTAGAAGTGGTTGAAACATGCTACCATCCAGTCTCACGGCCTTAAACATGATGGATTTTAGTTTTTAAATTTTTGAACACATGCTCACCTTCAGAGGTGGTCGAATTATGCGACCATCCAGCCTCACGGCCTTAAACATGATG